AAACACAACCACACAACTAAACACTATGCACAGAACGTAAACAATCCGCCATTTATATGACCAGAGTCGTCACAACCAATAGGATTGCGTTTTAAAGATGCATGAATACTTTGAATTTTAGCTGAATTTGTTCATTAAATATTTAACAAAATAGCAATAGATGGATAGTATAAACTTATGTAATCTTTCATATATATATATTACCATAGATTAATGTTCAGTTTATAGGAATTTTTGATACAATGAAAACACCCTATTATTCAAAGTCTGCTTGCAAATGCATTGTATTGTTTCTGAGAATCAATAATTAACTTAAACAAATTATTTCGTACATTTGACAAACCGATAGTTTTTGCCGAATTTTTGCCGAACTTTCTGTCGATTGAGTTAATTTGGCATTTTATGCTAATTAACTTTCAAAAGACGATTAGATTCTAAGAACCATTCTAAAAATTAGTATCTTCGACAACGATACTACATGGTTGGAAATCGAGTCAAGTTTCTGTACATCAGCAAGTAATAAGCGAGGAACATGGCATGAGCGAAACTTTTTTTACAAAAGGTTTGTGTTATTTGGAAACAAGTTTCAAATCATTTTAGCAGACATTCGAATGTATAAAAACCGCATTCATTTACTAGTCATTTTTTGCGCAAACCGACTTCTTTAGCTTCATTTATCAACTTCTATCAGAGTTTGGTAATTAATAAATATGTTTAATAGCTCCAACATACAACTATCATCAAACGTGCATTGACTCTTCAAAAAAATCGAAAAACTTTTTAATAAAAATTCCGGTCAGTCGATGTTTCCTGGAGTTCACGTTTTGTTATAGCACTCTTTAAATGCTTCTCTAAGCATCTCTCTTCACTCTCTCGCCCTATTCTCTTCGCTCAAAAATCTAAGTTTTTTTAACTGTATGTACTAAGTTCCCCTCTTATCTAATGTCTGTCAATTGCCAGATTTAATTCATTTTCGTAATCGAGAGCCAATCAGTAAGTGCCAAAATTATGTAAAAAATGTAAATAAAAAATACTTAAGTTATTATATTTAGTGATAACGAACTGCCTAAGAAAACCTTTGCTTGTGAATAACACCTTTGGCTGTAGCTTTTTCAATATCTGTACATAGCTTCACTCTATCCCCACGCAAAACTACCTTACGCTTAAGCTGCGTCTTCCAACGCTCCAGTTAGCCCTCCTATCCCCCCGATAATCTAACCCGGAGGTTACAGTGTGCCACTTTTAGCGCTGACGGCAATTTCGAGGTCACCCTTGCGACGAAAGCCACAATTTATCATCAGGGATTGGTGGAATGGAAACCTCCGGCAATCTACAAATCGTCCTGTGAAATTGACGTGGAGTATTTTCCGTTTGACGAGCAGACGTGCGTTCTCAAGTTTGGCAGTTGGACGTATGACGGGTTTAAGGTAAGACAGCGGACACACGTGTGTCATTCATACTTGGGTGGAGGTTTTCCCATTTTGCAGGTCACTTTGTGCTTATTTGTCTAGGGTGGTAATCTGCTGACGTACTTTCAAGGAGAATATTGTGTAGTACGTCATTTATATTTCCAATGCTGTCATCACATGTTATTTATAATAAGATTTTACGTATTAGAGGTAAAAAGTTCATGATAATAGTATTTTTTTTTATCTAGGTCGTCATCTTTAACCGGTTAGCAGGTAGACATACGCTGAATATATTTGTCATTTTATCAACACTGGCTTTTCTGAGCTTGATCGAAGAAATTGAAAAAACTGAAAAAACAACATCATATTTTGAAATATAATCTTCGCCAACTAACTTCCAGTTATTTTTTGCTCTATGCGAGAGCTATACAGGGTGATTTAAAATTGGCGTCATTCCTTTTAAGGGGCGATAGAGGCTCCCTTGGGGAGTACCAGAAAAACATTGAAAATTTTTTTTTCTAAAATTTCTAGAAGATATCAACAGTTGAAGATCGAGTTTCAACTTTGTTATTAAGCATTATTTTGAAAAAATTCCACGTTGGATTAGCAGCCTATTCGAATACTTAAGCATTCAAAAGAAAAATTACGATCTTTGCTTCAAATTACGAAAATCAAAAAAGTTCTCTTCTACAATTTTTTGCTGAAAAGGCACAGCGGCAATGATGTTTTTTGTCATTAACAGGTAATTACAGGTGGATAGCCCTTGTCAATAATAACAATAATTTGTCAAACTGTGACTTTCTTTGAATTTTCTTTCACGAATTTGCTGGTATGCGATTAGTTCAGGGGAAATGCTACAGTAACATAGCAGAAGCTAAAAGAACTCAAGCCAATAAAGGGCAAGGAAAGTTCCAGGAAGATAGTGGACGACAATCGATGTTCGGGTTCCAGACATAGAGGAACACGTATTGGACATAACCGAATCAGGGGCACTCAGAGCACAATAACTGACACTTTCCGAAGCACCAAATAAATACCGAGGAAGGGCTACGTTCCTACCACGTTTGTACGATACACACAGCACAATGGAGCACGAGTTAATTAACTGAATACGAGAAGCTGCTTGATAAGAGTTGACATTTCGTCCACAAATCTTATTGAATTTACCGTTTATCCTTGTCTATCTTATTGTCAGTGTCTATAATTCCATGGTTACCGGAGTTTTAATTAATTAAGGAGCAACAGGTATTTGCGCAGTGTTAATTAGACAGACTACCTGGAAAAACATTGCTGCCGTATTTCTGATACAGTTTTTTGCAAATTTCTCAGTTTTTAATAACAATTAATTTCTTGTACTCTTTTTTCTGTACTCCTATAACAGCGCCAGACAACAACTCCAGAGGAATGACCCCAATTTTGAATCACCCTGTATAACCAATAAGATATGTAAAATCAGTGGACTGGTAGATTTAAATAAGATTTTTTAGAAGTATGATGGAGAACCATACAAGAATATAAATCAGTATCAATCAGCGTTTTGTGTGTAGTATTCAGTACTTAAGATGTCCTTTCTTTCACATGCTAACATAATTCCTACATTTTTATTTCATAGGGTGGTTGGACTTTTAAAAACTAAAATTATTCTTAGAGTTAGGTGCTTATTTATCATCCAATTTGTGTCAGAGTCTGCTTTATATGGTTGTTACAACGCCTCATTGAAAAGTAATTGTTTAATAATCTAGGTCGGCACCCGCCTCTTAACATCAGGGTAATAAGTATAAGTATTTAAGGGTAAGGGTATTCATGTTTTGTCAATCTGGCTCTCTAAAATAAACGAAAATTTTTCAACATTATACCGGGTGTTAGGCCTGGATAACTCAGCGAATTTTTAGGAATTGGCGCAGTGCTACGCAAATGGCTTGGTGCGCCAACCCAACGCACCGTCGCAGTAACTCAGTTCCGTTGCTGGGAAATTTTTGATTATTTTTTTACTTGTTTCTAGATTTATTGTAAGGGCCATTTAATAATAACAGTTTTAAAATTTCTTCAAAATTTCAGAATTATCCAGTTTTAGCCAAGTTACTCTTCCTTCTAAATGCCTAATTTCTAAATTTTGATTTATTTTCCTGGCTGTGTGTAATTGTTTGGCAGTGTTCAAAACTTCATATTTGTTTGAATTTTATGTGAATTTTATGAAGTTTTGCAGACAGCCAAGCCTATCAAGAATCCAATGCTTCCCAATTATGGGTTTGTTTTGAATTTTAATCTGATTATGGCGCTGTTGTCTCCCCCAAATTTTAATATGAAATAAACGATATGAACATTTTTATTTCACATTTTGACTGAAACCCAGGAAAGAAAAAATATAATCAATTTCTAAACTTTCACTTCAAAATGTTAGAGCGCCTTAGTATCGCTTACGAAATTTGTGGTCAAGCCTCATTTCAGGGACACCCTGTATGCCTCGTGTTTTTTAAGAATCCGATATTTCACTGTGTGATTCTTCAGATGAAAGTTTTTTTAAAGATGAAAAGTCTCTATAAACATGGGCCCGCAAGGCCGTACATAAGTAAAGAGAGTTACAGAGTTAAAAAATTAAATTAAAAAAGAGATTAAATGTGCCAATTTACAACCGGCAATAAACACCAAGTTTCGTGTAAATATGGATATTACTTCCAAACTTCGTCGCTAAGTAAGGACTTGCACACCAAATCCTATATGTACTTTTTATATTAAACATA